ATATCTGCCCCTGGCCTTGTTCTGGCTGATGATATGGAGCTTCTCCATCGTCTCTTTCCACAGATGTAGTCAATTTGATTTCTATGTATTCCATCTGGTGTAGTGGTTATGAATCGGACTGTGAACTACAAGGTCAGCAGTTTTAAACTACCAGCTATTCTGAGGAAGAAAGATGAGGCTCTCTGCTCCCATAAAGTTTTACAACCTTGGAAACCCTGTACAGGGTTGCTATGAGTCAGAACTGACTCCACGGCACTTAACATGTGCAACAACAAGGCAATTCTTGAGAGTGGCACTGTAGGATCTCAACGTCTGCAGGCAGTTCAAACCCACCAGCTGCTCCTCAGAAACCCCATTCAGGGTCGCTATGAGTTGGAACTGACTCAACAGTACTTAAAAACAACAACAAGCAGTTCATAGGATTTCCATTGTGGTGCTGTAGGGTAAGCACTAGACTGATAACCAGCTGCTCCTCAGAAACCCTGTACAGGCTCACTATGAATCAGAGCTGACTTGTTTAACGACAATAATAGGCAGGTTTTAAGACTACACTGTTCAAGGTAGATGCTCTTAGCTAGTTAAGTCCAACTATTTTAAGGGACCCCTGGTGGCAAGGTGGGCTCAGAAGCAGACTAATAAGAGTCAGGTCAGTGGGTCAAGTTCAGAAGCTGTTCCTTGGGAGAGATGAGGCTGCCTGCTGCTGAAAAGATTTCGCTTCAGAAACCGAAGGAGCAGTTCTGTATCCTCCATAATCCCTCTGAGCCGCATTGGTTTGTTTGTTTTTTGAGGTAGGCATTCTTGTTCCCATTTTACAAAGGAGAAGCTGGGGGATCCTGATGTGACGCGGGGTCTGCTTGGTCCCCAAAGCTGTTCCTTTGCCAGTGCCCTTCCTCACAGGAAACCACCTAGCAGGGTGAGCACCCCACTCCTGTGTTCAAAATGGGGAGATGGAGCCGGAGAGAGGGAGGCTTCCCCACAGTCTCAAAGCCACTTTGTTAGAGTAGCCCCTCCTTGTAGGCTCAGTGTGAGCTCCCCAGCTCCCCTCTCTTGCTCTCCAGCAGCATCTCCGAGCCCCTTTGCCCCAGATGCCTCCAGCCCACTCCTGCCCATGCCAGCTGAATTCTTCCACCCCGCTGTGTCCACCGGCCAGAAGGTCCAGGAGAAGGTCACCGGCCCTGGGACCCTCCCAAAGATCGCCCTGCAGGGCTCCTGGGCCTCCCTGCGGTCTCCCAGTATCAATTGCACCCTACTGCGGCAGGTAGGGGCACCTCCTGCTCCAGAGAGTCCCCTTCTGGGCCTCGGAGTGTCCTGGAGGCCAAGAGCTGGGTTTCTGTAAGTGTGTGTGTGTGTGTGTCTGTGTGTGGGGGGGTGCTGAGTAGGGGTGCAGGGACGCGGGGGAGTCAGGAAAGCTTCAGGCAGATGTTAGTGAGGTATTTTCCTAGAGCTAAGTTTGACAAGGATTTGTCCCAGGAGTTTTCCCATAGGGTGTTCTTAACTCAGGATGTCACAGAGACTGGAGGTGGAGGTGACACTAAGTGCTGATAAAATGGGCAGGTCCAGGTCTCAGAGGACCCCCAAAATCCAGAGAAATGATGCCGACTGTCTTGAGTGGAGAATTAAAAGCAGTCATGTGACCCAGTCAGTTTTAGGACGTGTCACCTGGGGGAGGGCCCTGATGAGGGTTCTGAAAGCCGGTTTGTGGGCTCCAGCTTGAGTGAGTAGAGAGGGAGGCTTTGCAGGGTCATGGGGGAGAGGTGGTGATGTAGGTGCTCTAGGGCATAATCACTAGGAACAGATGTGGAAGGCAGGCCTGGGGCTGGGAGCTCACCTGGTGGAGCACAGAGCAGATAGGGGACTCTGGGTGAAGCCAGAGCTGCCCATGGTGGGGCCGAGGCACCGCCAGACACAGGTGCCTTTCTTGTCCTTTCCTTATCTGCTAACTGTGCATCAGTCCACCAGCCGTGTGTCACCAGACTCTGTGCTGGGGACAGAGTGCTTACAGTGAGGACATGTGTCAGGGGGGACATAGGAAGTATAGTCTATTTAGACAGTGGTATGTCCAGGAGAATTCTGGGAGGGGAGGGGACGGGATGCTGGGCAGGGCTCATCAGTAAGTGTGGTAGACCCTGGAGGACTGTGGGGGCAGGGTGATCAGAGGTGTGAGGACTGGTGTGTGTGTGTGGGGGGGGGTGGGCACAGAGGTGATCTAGAGGTGTGGTGGACCCTGGGTGGGCTGATCAGAGGTATGGGGCCCCTGGGGGGTTGGGGGGTGGGCTGATCAGAGGTGTGGGGACCCTGGGGGATTGGCAGGGTGGATGATCAGAGTTGCAGGGACTGTCAGGATGGGAGATCTGGAGGTGTGGTGGACCCTGGGGACTGAAGGAGCAGGCCTGCGGGCCCTTGGAAGGACAGTGTCACCATCCCTGGGATGGGCAGGCTTGGGTGGTGGGTGCTGGGAGACCCCTAGCCTCTGCTGCCCCCTCACAGGCCACAGAGAGCGACACATCGCTGGAAGCTAGCCGCAGCAGCTCGGCAGGCAGCCTGCAGACTACCTTAGAGGACAGCCTGACCTTGAGCGACAGTCCCAGGCGCGCTCTGGGTCCACCAGCGCCTGCACCGGGCCCCCGGGCCTGCCTATCCCCCACTACCAGGCGCCGTCTCAGCCTGCGGGGCCGAGGCTTGTTCAGCCTGCGCGGGCTTCGGGCCCACCAGCGCAGCCACAGCAGCGGGGGCTCCACCAGCCCTGGCTGCACCCACCATGACTCCATGGACCCCTCAGACGAGGAGGGTGGCGGCCGGGCCGGTGCAGGCGGCGGGGGCGCGGGAAGCGAGCACTCGGAGACCCTCAGCAGCCTCTCGCTGACCTCCCTCTTCTGCCCCCCGCCCCCGCCTCCGCCCCCTGGTCTCCCTCCCACCCGGAAGTTCAGCAGCACCAGCAGCTTGGCCGTGGGACCCCGGCCCAGACAGCCCCGAGGCCTGCCTCGGAGCCCCTCGTGGCTAGCAGAGCGCAGCAAGGACCCCCTGGGCCAGGCTGAGCCTGAGCCACAGCCACCCCCAGGGGAGCTGGAGTTGGGGGATGCCATGAGCAAGAGGAAGAGATGAGGGGGCCCCTGCCCGCCTGCCCCGTCTTACTTCTTTTACCTCAGGAGCCAGGAAACAGACAGCAATACTTTGTCCACACCTGGGAATGGCGCAGGGGCCAGCCGGCTCCCAGGCCACTGAGAGGGAGATGGAGCAGGACCTAGGTTAGCCCAGGCTCAGACGAGGCCCCTGCCGAGGCCCAGCGTGGCCTTCCCGTGCATATATATATATATTTATTTTTTTTTACTGAGCGCTTATGACTTCCAGAAAGTGCTGAGGTTGGGGAGTTCAGGGCCTGGATGGGGGCTAGCTTTGTCTGACATGTAGCAACCAGGCTGAGGTTTTGGAGCTTCCGGGAGCAGAGCCTCAAGTCTCTGAGGGTTCGGTGGCCTGAGAGACAGGCCCAGAGGGAGAGGTGAAATTCAGGGTGCATCTTTTTCCTTTAAAGAAGATACGCTGCTAAGATCCCGCATTGTCCCCACGTCTTGGGGTGTCTGTCTTGTCGTTCCTGACCGTTTCGTTGTTGTAAACAGTCTTTTGTAGACACCCCAGAACATGCAAACTTTCTTAGTCAACACTTAGATGTCCTTCTCTAGAAAAAGCGGGGGTGCGTAAGTTGCATTTTCTTAGGGTAGGGGATGGTGGGTGGAGGGTGACGCTGAGGCTGGGCAGGGGGCTGTGGTTCCAGCTGAGGTCCCAGCCTCCCTGGGCACTGATCCGGGTGTCCACTGTGGCCTGGCTCGCTGGGAAGGTGGAGGGCAGAAAGAGCAGCAGGAGACAGAGGGAAGGGGAGGATTGAATGGGCAGAAAGTGTTTGTAGGGTCCCTGGGCTCACCGTTGGCTTCATGGTTACTTAATGCCTTTTATCTGCCAGGTGGGGCCAAGAGCTTTGGCTACAGCAGAGACCTGCCCCATGGCGCAGGAACGCAGAGTGACTCAGATCTGAAGCTTACATGCAGGGCTGGGACACCTGCATCATCCCAACCACCCCGTGTCAGCCTGTCTCTGGGTCTCTGGCTCTCGTTCCTTCTCCTTTCCCCAAAGCTGTGGGTTTGGCTTCGTGATAGCAATGCTTCAGATGGCTTCCAGATGGGTACTTTAAATTTGAATCGTTGTGTCTGTATTTTGGTATTTATTAGAGAGCAAAAAAAGTACATTGAACCTGTGAGTTCTCAGCTATAGTGCTGAGGTACAAGTAAAGACTTTTTTTTTTTTTTTTAAACAATGGGTGGATTTAAAGCCAGTTTAAAGAAGATCATGGAGCACACCATGGTAGTCATGGTGACCTGCAGACTTGGTGGGGGTCGTAGAGGGTGTGAGATGCCACATGTCAGCAATAGTGGCCCTCTAGCCTCACTGAGGTGACCTCAGATAGCTTTGATTGGGCTCTATTGAGGGGTCCTGTTCCCATTCCCAAACTCTGACAGCTGTGAGGGGTGGGTAGCTTGGTCAGGCTCCAGGGACTTCCAGCCTCAGCCCTATCCAGGCACAGGGACCCTTTGGGCCTGGGTGGACGCTATGACAATGAAGGACTTAGACCCCTGAAGCATCACTACCCACAAACCCCACTGCTTGGAGCCGGTGGCGAGGGCAGCGAAGGCTGGTCAGCCCTACTTGTGAGGAATCCAAGACTCGGAGAGGGAGGCTTCTGCCCCATTCCACAGGGCACTGACCCTAAATACCCAGATCTGAAAGAACTTGTCCTGTGTTTCAGAGCGAGGCAGGCCACCATAGAGCCCTCAGGCTTGGCTCAGTGTCTGGCACCTGGAGTACACCGTGTACTTCTCAGTCCCTGCTGTAAGATGGTAACCTCTTTGGGCTGAGTCTCCTTGAAGGGCTCCAGGGTGAGGGGGTCTTCTCCCAAGGGAGCAGGTGAATTGGCTGCCCCATGGGACCTCATGGCTGGTGAGGGAATCTGGACCCAGGACCTGAGAGTTTGGGCTCTGCTTCCCTTCCTCACTGGTTCTATATATTCTTTAGAGTAGGAAAGAGGCCCAAGTGGCCTTTTTGGCTCTGTGTCGCTGTGAGCAGCCACATCGGGGGCTTGGCTGGGGCTCATGGAGCAGTTAGTTGCTTGGGGCCAGGTCCTGTATTGGGCCTGCCCTGAGCACTCTAAGTGGGCCCGGAGACAGATGCCTGAGCGTGCAAGTCTGTCTGGATCAAGTGCTGGAGAGTCTGTGGCCCGGGGAGACGTTGGTCGAGCACCATCTGTGTGTGGCACAACCCCCTGTCGTGTTCCATTTCCTTGGTGTACCCTGTTGCTCCCGACTCAGACAAGCATGTGACTTCCTTGGTGTCACCTAACAGTCCTTCCCTGCACCATTCGGTCTGGCGCACACACATCTGCTGGGGAGGGGTTCTGAGTAGAGGTGTGCAGGGGACAGTCACAGCTGAGCTCAGTGGCAGGGATGCATACCTGGGGACTCATGGGAGAGGGGTTGGTGCCTGAGGTATCGATGCAGATCTGTTGTTTCTGTGGGTGATGGGGGACCAGGGCAGTGGAGGGACTGGCCAGGACAAGTGAGAGTGTCTAGGGGTTGGGTGAAGGAACCCCCTACTGCCTCCCTGACCCTGCACCCAGAGCAGTGTCCATCACAAAAGCACAAAAGTCCCCTAACCCACGTGGTTCAGATGGGGGCAGTAGTATCTGACCCCAGAGCCCTCTGTTTGCAGGGCTCTGCAGGGGCGGGGTGGGGCAGGGCCTCTGCACAGGGATCCACAGTCAGAGGGGGCCATTGCCTGCCCCTGGCCAGACCCTCTTCCTGTCCCTGCACTGACCTTCTGCTAAGTGGCCCCCGCAAGGACAAGCGTCCACTGTGCCAGTCAGCCTGCCTGTCTCCCCGAATCCTCCCCTGGAACCAGGGGCTTCCAGGCCACCTTCAGCCCCCTTTTGCTGCGCTGTGTCAGGGCTTGGTTCTAGAAGGCTCTGTTTAGCCCCGACACCCCCACTCTGTCTTTGTGCAATAGCCAGTGTCCCTGGCAGAGCTGGGGCGAGCTGGGGCCTGGTCTCACCGCTGTGGCCCTCGTTCCCCCAGTCTATGTACAGTTTCTCTGCTGTGAATGAACTTTCCTAGTGCTGATAACACTGGTACCTGCTGGCCCCAGGGCCTGGGCATAGAGGGACAGTGGCAGTCGCCACCAGTGTTGTCCTGAATAAAATCCAGAAGTCTATTTCAGAGAGTCCCTACGTGTTTGTGCTTTTCTTCCACCTGTGGGAGCCGGTTGAGTCTAGGGTGCCCCATAGGTGGGATGTGTTCTCAGTCAGCTAAGGCTGCGGGTGAGTATCTGGTCCCCAAGAAATGTCGCATGGAAGGGCCTTCTGCATGCAAGGCTGAGGTGGAGGGAGGGCCTCTTGAGAATAATAACCCCACCTTGGGTTATGGCTTCCTGAGTTTGCATGAAGGGTATTACAAGAACTCTCAGCTGCAAGGGACAAAACCCAGTTCTAATGGGAAGTGACAAGTTGGCTGATGGCGTCTCTCTCGTGTGTCCTCTCTCTCTCCTCAGGGCTGCCTAGGCCTTGGGGGTGGTGGAGCAGCAGGCACAAGAGGGTGGGGGTTTGACAGGCCCTGCCCAATCTGGAGAACAAAGGGTGGGCTGAGGCCACTGAGGAAAGGCTTGTCTGCTGTCCCCCTTGTCCTTTCACCCCTGCTTCCCCATTTTCTGCTTTCTTCTTTCTGTGACTGCACATAACAGAGAAGTCAACGTGGCCATTTGAGTCCCTCACAGAGAGGGCAGTGGGGGAAGGGAGGCCGAGACTGGAAGTGGCAGGTGTGGGCCCGCTGTGGGACTGCGCAGGGCACAGGATCCCCAGTTCTGATCTGTGTTTCTGACTGGGATTGGGGCACCCTTTAAAGTTCTTTTCTACCCCGCGCATCAGCCTTGCTGTAGAAAAAGCAGTTGGAGGACAGGGAGAGAGGCCTCATTTGTGCATATGTGTACACACACACACTTATTACCATGCCTCAGGTCCACGAGAGCCGCCTGAATTCCCCGTCCTGTGTTGGCCTGTTGCCTGTCCCCATTCTACAGATGAGGAAGCCGAGACAAAGCAAGATCCTCTGGACCGTGTAGCCCTAATCAGACATCTCCCCTCATTGTATGTGACTCCTCACCATGAGACCTGGTCACCACCCAGGGGTAGACCTCATGGCCTAAGTGCCCCAGCGAGCTGTGGTTGCCCTAATAACATGTCTCTGGCCCCTTCTCTCTTAGCCGCTGACCACTGACATGCTGGACTCCCCCAACCCGATATCCTACAGACAGCTCAGACTTAATGGGTCCGAAACCCAACAATTCCCCCAAACCCAGCCCCTCTGTGAGCCACACCCACCGGTTTGGTCATATTCCATGGAAACTTCATTCCTCTACCTCCCCTTCACCAGCCCCTTCCCAAACTCATCCATTCTGCCCTTCTGCCACCCCATGTATCTGTCTGGGGCATCCTTTCCTTTCTTCTCCTACCCATGCTCAGACCACATCAGCCCATTGTTGTTGCTAAGTGCGGTTGAGTTAGTTCCAACTCATAGCAACCCTGCATAGGGTTTCCAAGGACCAGCTGGTAGACTTGAACTGCCAAACTTGCTTATCCTACAGTACCACATCAGGGCTCCCATCACTCCATAGCTTTGGGTTATCTGCCCGCCTCCTTGTTGGCCTCCCAGCTCAGTGCCAGCCCCTCTAGACCATAGCCCCCTCTTAGAGGTGTTGTGGTCTTCCCATCAAGCACCTCTCCATGGCTCTCAGTTCTTATTACCTGTGACATGAAGGCCCACCCCTCAGCTGGCACATAAGCCCCCTCCAGCTTCAGTTCCCACACTTCCTCCTTTATTCCTAGGCTGTCCTTTTATTTCATCTTTAGCCCCATCCCCAATTTGATCCCACCTCCACCTCCTGGTGAGTGTCCTCCCCCAGGCTTCGGGGAGACCAAAGAAAGAGCATGAATCCTTTAACCCCTTCAGTGAGTCCTTTATCCCTTGTTGGCCTCACTTTCCTTTCATACTTATTGTGACATGGATCAT